CAACTCCCAAGTTGTTCTCTGACTAACTCTGCACTTGCCTTTTCAAACCAAAAAGTAGTTAAAGGGCTCCCTCGAGACGACTCAGAGACATAGAGTGCTTGTATGCAGTCATGAGACGCAGTTAAGATAATAAGCCAGACATCTTCTACGTGTACTCCCAGCACCAAGGAGGATTTTCTGGCTTCCATCCTAGCTAAGAACACTTGAGCCCAGGTCCAGAGAGAGGCCCTGCCACAAAGGAGCAGAGTACTAGAGGACATCTGATGCTTGTACCTGTACATGTGTTCACACTCACACACACGTACACACAAACACAAATCTTTTAAAAATAACTTTAAGAATAAATAACAGCTAAGGGGCTGAAGAGGAGACTCAGCAGAAGAGTATTGGCTGTTCTCCTAGAGGACCTGGGCTTGGTTCCCAGCACCCACATAGGAATCTGTGACCACCTGTAACTCAAGTTCCCGGGGATCTCATGCACTCTTCTGCACAAGTCACACACATAGTACATACACATGCACATAGGCGAAACCCCCATACACGTAAAATTTTAAACAAAAACAATATTTAAATTAAATAAAAGATAAATGAGAAAAATAGTTATGTTAACGATAGAGAATAGTTGGGTATATGGATATTCACTATAAAATTTCAAGCTTGTTTTTTGAATTATATATTTGTTGCTTCAGGGGCTTGTTTTTAGACCAGGCCTGGCCTGGTTGCTGGGATTACAACATGCACTACCATATCTGGCGATAGGTTTAAATTTTTCATAATAAGAAGTTGTGGGTGCAGAGCTGAGTGTGATGGTATATGCCTTTAATCCCAACACTCAGGAGGCAGAGGCAGGTGGGTCTCTATGAGTTTGAGACCAGCCTGGTCTACAGAGCGAGTTCTAGGACAGCCAGGGCTACACAGAGACACCCTGAATCAGAGGGAAAAAAAAAAAAAAGAAGTTGTGGATACAGATAAAGCCAGATAATCTTTCTGCTCTGATGCCTGCCCTGATGCTTGTTAGGACTGTAGGGTCTTCCTTGGCCTTTGATCCTGATCACCCACTCTATCTGCCAGTCTCTGTCTTGAAAGCTGTCATGGAGTCTTGTCTAAGTCACCCTAAAACTCATATTGGAGAAGTTTTAGATGACAGTGTGTACAAAGTAGTTTTGTTCTAGTCAGGAGGAGAGCAGTGTTGATGAGGATAGTTCTGAAAAGGGACAACAGGAAAGTCAGGTTCACACCACAGAATTAGCTACATTAGAGCTTGCAGCTCAGTGGCATTCAGTACACTCCATGTTATTTAAACATCATCCTATCATGTGCCAAAAATATCTCCCTTACACCAAAGGAAGCCGTGTACTTCTTAAAAATTCAGTCTTCATTCGGCCTTCCCAATATAACCACTATCAACTTCAGTCTCTGGATTAGTATATGTGAACAGTTATATAATGTATTCTTGGTTTATTTCACTTAGTATTTTTGTGTTTGAAGTTTGCCACTTTTATGGCTAATAGTCTGTTTTATCAATATGTACTGCGTTTTATTTATCCATTTATTAGTTGATACCTATTTAGGTGATTTCTGCTTTTTGGCGACTGTGAATAATGCTATTATAAAACTTACGCACTGGTTTGTTTTTTCTTTTTTAGATAGGGTTTCCATGTTTAAGGTGGCCTTTGACTCACTCTATAGTCAAGGATGCCCTTGACTTTCTGATCCTCCCAGCTACCTCCCTAATGCTGACATTATAGGCATGTACCATTATGCCCAGTTTAAAAAAATTATTGTTTGCCGGGCGGTGGTGGCTCACACCTTTAATCCCAGCACTCGGGAGGCAGAGGCAGGCAGATCACTGTGAGTTCGAGGCCGGGCTGGACCGATAGCCTCCAAAACAATACAGAGAAACCGTGTCTCGTAAAAAAAAAAAAAATTATTTATTTCTATTGTCTGTGCACTGGTGTTTTGCATGTATGTGTGTGTGAGGGTGTCAGATCCCCTGGACCTAGAGCTCCAGACAGCTATGAGCCACCATGTGGGTGCTGGGAATTGAACCCAGGTGCCCTGGAAGAGCAAACTATGCTCCTAACCACTGAGACATCTCTTCAGCCCTGGTTGTTTGATTGGTTTGTTTGCTTTGAGGTAGGTTTTCTCTGTGTAGCTCTGGCTGTTCTGGAGCTAGCTCTGTAGACCAGGCTGGCCTCAAACTCAGGGATCAGCCTGTTTCTGCCTCCCGAGTGCTAGGCTTAAGGTATATGCCACCATACCAAGCTGTATACCCAGCTTTCAAACAAGTTTTTGTTTAAAAGATTTATTTTTTTATTATAGTGTTCTGTCTGCATGTTTGCCTGCATGCCAGAAGAGAGCATCAGATCTCATAGATGGTTGTGAGCCACTATGTAGTTGCTGTGCATTGAACTCAGGACCTCTGGAAGAGCTCTTAACCACTGAGCTATCTCTCCAGCCCCGTAATAGTAATAATTTATTTTATGTGCATTGTTGTTTTTGCCTGCATGTCTGTGTGAGGGTATTGGATCTTCTGGAACTGGAGTTACAGACAGTTATGAGCTGCCATGTGGGTGCTGGGAATTGAACCAGAGTCCATTGGAAGACAGTCAGTGATTTTTAACTGCTGAGCCATCTCTCCAGCCCCTAAGTAACTTTTAAACTTTTTGATTTTATTTATTTTTGACACAGGGTCTCGCTCTGTAGCCAAGGCTAGCCTAAAGCTCACTATTTGTAGCCCAGGCTAACCTTACACTTGTGCTGGTCCTCTTGTCTCAGCCTCTTGTTTCAGTGCTGAGTGAAACACAATACTCAATACTGCTTTATGATTTTTGAGGATATACGTAGGGCTGTCCTAGGGTTCCCTATGCAACTAAAGATAACCTTGAACTTCTGAGTTCTGGGATTACAGGTGTAGACATGTATCACCACATTTGGTATGCAAATTCTAGCCCTACCAGGGCTATACAGTGACACACACACACACACACACACACATTTGTCATAACATTTATAATAGGTGGGTCTTTGATTTTCATTTCCTTAATGGCTAATGATGTTATGACCATTTGTGTGTGTGTGTCTTTGGGGGGAAAGATCTCTCTGGGTCATTTGAACTTTTTAAAAAGTGGGTTATTGGTCTTTCTGTTGTCAGTTTGTAATATCTATCTAAATCTTAGATGCTTTTGAGATACGTGATTTGCAAATACATTTCCATCTTGTAAGTTGTTGCCATTTCTTTATGGTGCCTTTCATTTTCATACACAAAGGTTTTTTTTTGTTTTGTTGAGTCCAATGTTTTCTGCCTTTTGTGTTTGCCTTAAGGGTCCTGACCTTTTTATTTTGATTTTTTCTTTTTGGTGGGGATTGAACCCAGCGCCTCTCACACATGGTAGAAAAATGCCATAACACTAACCTAATTCTCTAGTTACTTTCGAAAGTGTGTATAAGACATGGAATCACACTGCATCTTTTCTCTTTTGTGTGTGGTGCTAGCATCACTTGGGCCTTCAACAGGCTCCAGAGGCACCCTACCACCAAGTGAGTCTCTAAAGGCCATTTGAATTTTTATTGGGTACATATATACTCCATCTATGAAAAATAATTACACCTTTTCTCTACATCCTTACCCATGTATTCATTTGACATGTGTAAATAATATTTTAAAAGCATTTTCATCTGTAATTTATTTATATTATTACATCTGTGTTTCTTCAGTCTATAGTCACTCATAGGTATGTTGAGTGAATGTTCACATCTTTTGTATGTTTTTTTTTCTTTAACTGTCTGTAACAGATGCTACATTTATGTGCGACAAGCGGTGTAACAAGAAGCGATTGTGTGGGCGGCATAAATGTAACGAGATATGCTGTGTGGTAAGTGGACATAGCGCTGGGTGATGACATTGGATTCCATTCCTCTGGAAGCCTCTGCCCTCTGCAATGTGACCCAGGCTTAGAAGTCAACAAGAGGGGCCCCTAAACAGCAGTCAGAGCTTTCAGTCCCGTGCGCACTCAGCAGACACAGCCTTTTTAGGCTTTTAGAGGCACATACTGCACAGAGGGAGAGGAGGAGTGGAGAAGGCCTCCAACCCCAGTCCTAAGAAACTTCACTTTTTCTTTTTCTTGTTTTAGTTTTGTGGGTGTGTACCTGTTTTGGTCAGTGTGGGGTGTGTATACATGAGTGCAGGTGCCTGCAGAAGCTAGAGGTGGGTGTCAGAGCCCTCTAGGATTGGAGTCACAGGCAATTGGGAGCCACCTGACGTGGATCCTCTGCAAAAATAGTAAATTCTCTTAACTATTGAGCCATTTCTCCAGCTCCAAGACAACTTTAGAATGGTCCTTTGGAGTAACAGTTTTCCCAGCATAGACTGGCATGGACTTAGCAACCTGAGCTTTGGGTTTCATGTATTCATTGGACCATATCAGAGGCCAAAATGAGTATGCTGCGTTTTGTTTGTTTTTAAATAGAGGTTCTCCATTATATTGCCCAAGCTGGCCTAGAGCTTGCCTTGTAGCCCAGGCTGACCTTGTACTTGGGTGGAGTCTCCTGCCTCTGCCTTCCTAGTGCTGAGATTACTAGTGTAAAGATACCATGCCTGGCCGACTATGGCATTTTTTTTAAAGACACAAGTTTCATTTATATAAAATGTTTCTGTAGAATTAATTGTAGAACCACTAGCTGGCATTGATATTGCCTTATCTATATGTGTATACATACGTGCGTAATGAGATGTTGTATGATACATATTAATAAGGCAACATGTATGTGTACATGATTATGTATATACAAAGTGCAATAATAACAATAACAAGGTAGTATAAATGAATATTTGTATATATGTTATTCACATACATAGGCGAATAAACTGCAGTGTTCCATTTTCTTTTTGAGACAGTCTCACTGTGCAGCCCTAGCTGGCAGTCAGGTGAGTAAAGTGCTTGCCTCACAAGCATGAGGACTTGCATTTGAACCCAGCACACATTAAAAACGCTGGGCGTGCTGGAGGACCAAGAAGGCTGAGTCTGATGAAGCAAGACTTTGCTGATACACTCCTCCTAGACATGGGGGTAGAGAGCAGCAGCCCTTACAGGAGAAAGCCAGAGCTGGCTGTACTACCCAACATTTTCCGATGTCTTTGCCCTTTTTTTTTTTTAATTAACATCTATTGAAGAGAAGTGGGTATACTTATTCAACACTGTTTTAAAAAAAATGCTGGGCATAGTGATGAGTGCTGATTCCCAGTAGTGGGGATCCAGAGGCGGGAGACTCCCTGGGCCTTGCTGGCGAGCTGCTCTAGCCTATTGATGAACTCCAGGTTAGTGAGAGACCTATCTCAGGAGGTGCTCTGAGAGTCACACCCGAAGCTGGCCTCTGGCCTCCACATTCCCGCACACATGTACCTAACGTCCATCTATGAAAACCTTTGTCCTGACAAATGAAGAGCGATGGCATCGTGTTTTATACCAAGGTTGATAAGTCAATGACTGGAAGCCGAAAGACTTGCTCTATCAGAGCTCAAACAAAAGCAGGAAGGTGGTACAGTAAAGCTCATCTACACAGTACCCAGCTTCAATAAGTGTCTTCCTCATGGCTAATCCTCTGTCATTCCTCTCTTCCCCTCCTCCCTTCCTCCCTTGATGCTTCTGAAGCCCTTCCCACGCATCCTTCCATTCAGAAATGTGTGGAGCTTTGTTTTAATTTTGTTTGTAAAATGGCAAAACAATCATGAACAAATAGAAATCTCTCCTTAGGACAAGGAGCACAAGTGTCCTTTGATTTGTGGGAGGAAACTCCGTTGTGGCCTTCATCGTTGTGAAGAGCCTTGTCATCGAGGGAACTGTCAGACCTGCTGGCAAGCCAGTGAGTGCCTTCACTGTATACTTAAGGCTTCTGCACGGAGCGGGTCACCGAACCACGTGGCTTTATTTTCAGCCCTTGGAGGTTCAGATCTCGTCAGTTTGAGGCTAGCCTGGTCCACATAGTGAGTTCTAGGACTACATATAGCCAGAGCTACATAGAGAAACCCTGCCTCAAAAATACAATTTCTACCAGGCGTTGGTGGCGCACACCTTTAATCCCATCACTTGGGAGGCAGAGGTGGGCGACTGTCTGAGTTCAAGGTCAGCCTGGTCTACAGAGCAAGTGCCAGGACAGGCTCCAAAGCTACACAGAAAAACCCTGTCTTGGGGAAGAAGAAAAAAAAACCATAATTTTCTGGCATATTTTGAGCAATTGATTTGCTTAAATTGATAGAATTTTTTAACCTGAGCCTTACTATTTCAAACGTGTCAAGGCTTTTTAGTTATTCTTAGCCAAACATGTAGTACATCCTAAATGACAGTACAGGGAACAGCAAGGCAGAGGCAAGAAGATAGCAAGTATGTGAGTACAAAACCCTGAGTTCAGCCCCCAGAACTAGATGGAAGCGTGCGTGCGTGCGTGCGTGCGTGCGTGTGTGTGTGTGTGTGTGTGTGTGTGTGTGTGTGTGTGTGTGTGTGTGTGTGTTCGCTCGCACTTTATTATATCCGTGTATATCCCAAACTCAGGAAGTCGTGTTTTGTTTCCTCAGGTTTCGATGAACTAACCTGCCACTGTGGCGCCTCTGTGATCTACCCCCCAGTTCCCTGTGGGACTAGGCCTCCTGAGTGTTCCCAAACCTGTGCCAGAACCCATGAATGTGACCACCCAGGTGAGTCACAACACCTCACAGCCTCCTCATCCCTGTGGTTTGGAATGTGCTGTGGCCATGTGGGCTGGCTGCCGAGCTCACTGCTTCTCTGAAGGCCTTTCTTACATCCATGACTCCACACCATGCTCCTTTTTTAGTCCAGAGAACAGGTTGGGAAGAAGCCCTAGCTTGTTTGTTTCAGAGATTTTTCTTCCTTTGTTGCCTCTACTTTTGATACATATTAACATTCTTTTTTACAGAACTAAAAATAATTTAGTGAAACCAACTCCTGAAAAGTCACATACACACAGCCAATAAATAAGTAAATATAAAGAATCTTTTTTTTTTCCCAAGACAGGGTTTCTCTGTATTGTTTTGGAGACTGTCCTAGAACTAGCTCTTGTAGACCAGGCTGGTCTCGAACTCACAGAGATTGCCTGCCTCTGCCTCCCGAGTGCTGGGATTAAAGTCTCGTGCCACCACTGCCCAGCTTAATTTAAAGAATCTTAAATCCGGTCTTTGTTAGAGAAGCAATATGTTTATTAGGTAAAATTAAATTATAAAAAAAAATTAAATCTGAGCCGGCCGTTGTTGGCACACACACTTGGGAGGCAGAGGCAGGTGGATCTCTGTGAGTTCGAGGCCATCTTGGTCTACAGAGTGAGTTCCAGGACAGGCTCCAAAGCAATACAGAGAAACCCTGTCTCAAAAAACAAAAAATAAAAACAAAAAAAAAATTAAGTCAGGCTTGAGAGATGGCTTATCAATTAACAGCACTGGTTGTTCTTCCAGAGGACCCAGGTTCAATTCCCAGCAACCACACGTGGTAGTTCACAACTGTCTACAACTCCAGTTTCAGGGAATCTGGCACCCTCAACACAGATATACATGTAGGCAAAACACCACATAAGATAAATTAATTTTAAGAAATTTAAATCGAGGGGCTGGAGAGATGGCTCAGTGGTTAAAAGCTGTTCTTCCAAAGGTCCTGAGTTCAATTCCCAGCAACCACATGGTGGCTCACAACTATCTCTAGTGGAATCTGATGCCCTCTTTTGGCATAAAATCATACATGCAGATAAACCACTCATACTTAAAATAAATGAGTCTTTAAAAGATTTTTTTTATTTTTAATTATGTGTATGTGTGTGAGTATGTTCATGAATGCAGAGGCCAGAAGTGGGTGTCAGATCCCCTGGAGCTGGAACTACAGGCAGTTGTGATTTGCCTATTAAGAGTCCTAAGAGGGGCTGGAGAGATGGCTCAGAGGTTAAGAGCACTGGCTGCTCTTCCAGAGGTCCTGAGTTCAATTCCCAGCAACTACATGATGGCTCACAACCATCTACATACAATTCAATCTGGTGCCCTCTTCTGGCATGTAGGCAGAACACTGTATATGTCATAAATAAATCTTTAAAAAAATAAAAATAAAACTGGGTGATGGTGGCACATACCTTTTAAAAAAAAAAAGAGAGAGACCTAAGAACTGAGCCTTCCATTATGTCCCCTTTTTAGAGTTTTGTATCTCAATGCATATATATCATGTATGTTTGCCTTTTTGTTAGATTTAAAGTGAGGTCTTATTGAATGTAATGATTTTAAATTTGCTTCTTTTTTTTTGTGGGTTTTTTTGGTCGTTGTTTTTAGTTTTTTGAGATAGAGTTTCTCTGTGTAGCCCTGGCTGTCCTGAAACTCAATCTGTAGACCAGGCTGGCCTTGAACTCACAAAGATTCGCCTGCCTCTGCCTCCTGAGTGCTGCAGTTAAAGACAAGTACCACCACCACCGCCCGGCTAGATTCTTAAATTTTATTTTTGTGTGTGGGTGTTTTGCCTTTGTGTATGTCTGTCTTTACTTATACTAGTTGCGTATTATTACCAGACCCTCTGGAACTGGAGTTGCCAGTGGTTGTAAGCTGCCATGTAGATGTTGGGAATCAACAGCATTGGTCTAAGCTTCCTGCAGGCCGCAAGTCCAGTCTCAGGTCTTCTTTGCAATTTGTCTGCTGGCTTTATTGTTCACTCTGAGAAGGAGGAAGGGACCAAGGGGCCTAGTGAACCTGGTCGGTTTCAGAGACTTCCTGAAACTGTGCTGAGTTGTTTACCTTCCTGCTTGAGGAGTTTCCCTCTAGAGTAGAATGTTTCCGTCTCAGTGGAAACCGGTACACAACAGGGGCATTGTTTCATTTACTAGGCCCCTAAGAAATAACTCTGGACCCCAGATCTGATACCTTCCCTAAGGCTAGCCAATGTGATTTGAACTTAAGTTAGATGACTGTCTCTCAGTTTTTTTAAGTTAATATAGTAAAACAGAACTAAGAAAATTTCCCTTTCTTGGGAGACTTTGAATGGTCTTTCTGGCATGGTTTGTAAATTCCTTTCTTGCTACTTATACCAGCATAAGGTGTCCAGACCAGTTCCCACCCAGCCCCTCCTTTCCACCAACTTGCAAGAATTACAGATGCTGTTCAAATCCTGCTGGGTAGTATCCTTAGTAAGAACTTATAACCTATAAATTGTGGTGTTTTGACTTTTTTATTTAGCATTCATTTTTTTTCTTTTTTGGTTTTTTTTTGGGGGGGGGCGGTTTCCGAGACAGGGTTTCTCTGTGGCTTTGGAGGCTATCCTGGAACTGTCTCTTGTAGACCTGGCTGGTCTCAAACTCACAGAGATCCGCCTGCCTCCGCCTCCTGAGTGCTGGGATTAAAGACATGCACCACCAACGCCCGGCTGGCTTTCATTTTCTTGAGTGTCTTTTTGAATATCCAGCATGGTGTCAGTCAGAGGGAATTTGAGAGAATGAAAAAAATCTCGCGCGTTACTAGAGTCTTGTGTTCCTGAGAGTTAGAGAATAGTGGTCACATATGTTTACATGTGGTTGGGCCAGGTAACAAGGCAGCAAGCCTTGTGTTGGAGACCTAAAATGCATCGGGGAGTAGGAAGCTCGGAACAGAATACTTACTTAATCTGAGGCACTGAAAGTAATCAGTAGAAGCAGTTTAAATCATTTTAAAATGTATTCTGTGTGGATGGTATTTTACCTACATGTGTGTCTGTGCACCCCTTGCGTGCTGGTGACTGGAGGCCCAAGAGGGCATTAGATTCCCTGGAACTGAACTAAGAATTGTACCCATGTCCTCTGGAAAAGCAGCCATTTTAAGTGTTCAGCCATCTGTGCACAACAGTAGAATCATTACATAGACTATATAACAGGTGTCTGGACAGTTTCAGTGTCAAACACAGAAGCATAGGCAGACCAAGTGACTGTCTCTCGGGCATGGTGAGAAGACTGCCTTGTTTCTGGAATTCGGCATACCTCTTCTCATCTCCCTTAACTTTTTTTTCCATGCCAGCTCATTTTTCTTTCTTTTTTCCTTTTTTTAAGATGTGTGTATTTGGTACATGTATAGGTGCCAGAATAGGTAAGAAGAGGACATTCAGTTCCCTAAAGCTGGAGTT